TCAACTTTTGAGCGATTTCCGATAACCGGAAGTGGTACTTTTTCTACTTTGACTTTTTCAAAAGCCTATAACTTGAGTACTAATTTTCAGATAGATAAATGAAATTTGATATGTAAGTAAAAGATCTAATTCTCTACCTTCTGTCAAATTTTGAGCAATTTCCGTTTACCGGAAGTACTTATTTACGCTATTCCGATTTCTCAAAAAATGCATGTTACTTTATAAAGTACTAATAATATTGCACATTTTTATTTAGCGTTCACTTGGTGTGAAATTCTTTTTTTCTACGAGATTATATTCTATTCTAAAAAGTTTGAGTATTTAAAATGGATTAAATATCATAACTATATCTCGAGTTCCCATCCCCTGTTACTTTATATAAGAATATTCCCGGTTTATTTTAAAAAAAGAATCAGCAAATGGTTGTACAGGGGTTGTAATGGTCCCATGTTTAGTGAGAGAAATCTGTCGTTTTAAATCATAGAACAAACGTATTTCCAATATATATATATATATATATATATATATATATATATATATATATATATATATATATATATATATATATATATATATATATATATATATATATATATATATATATATATATATATATATATATATATATATATATATATATATATATATATATATATATATATTAGCAGTAAGGTTATTGGAATAGGTCATATTATTTTACAGTGGTGGATCAAGACATACAGGTTTATAGAATGGTGGAGTGGGGAGAGGGGATGGTAAGAGTTGTAGTCAATGTAGGGGTTCTGTAACTCAGTTAATTATTTTCCAAAGTTTCCAAATGTAGGGATACTATGGCCTGAACTGAAACTTTTTTTTTTAACTCAGAAGAGATTCAATGGTATAGTTTGTCACGTGATCACTTGTTTGGTCACGTGATCACCTGTTTGGTCATGCTTTCAACTGCTAGCATTGTATCTGGCACTAGATGTTTTGTTCGTGTGTCTTGTTTCTATGGTAACGGGCTAAAAGTGTAAACAAGGCAGCGGCTAAAATCAGGTGCGCCATTGAACTGGATCCCACACAAATAGTTTAGAACTAAGGTTTGCTTTAGCACTTCGAAATACATCTGTGTCGTTGGATTCTATAACCGTGTTTTGATTTTAACTTATACCTTTGTTAAGAGTTATAGAAATACAGTATATTATAATTAAAGATTCGCATAATGGCAGACACTTTTAGTTAACTTTTTTTTTAAATTATAGAGATTGGACAACAGCTTCAAAATATGTATTGAAAAGATTTTATGAGTAAAAGTTGTAAAAAGGGACATAATCGTTAATCTTGTCAGATAACAGGAATGTCTCCCTTGGATTGTCTCAACTTCAGTGAGTATCTCGCCCAGCAGGCTCAGGACCCTCAAATGACAGAGGTCTACACCTCGCTAACAGCCTTATGTGTTACCATAGCAACGTTCACTGTGGCAGCTAACCTGATCGTCATCATCGCGCTGATCCACTCAAAACGTCGAGGTTCGAACCCACCGGACTCCAGGAACAACAACAACAGCTGCTTGACCAAGCTGTTAATGACGTCATTGGCATTCTCTGACCTGATGCTGGGGGCGACGATAATGCCGCTGGAGTCGGTAGAGCTGTTGAACAGGGGGAAGTTGAAGCTGGGCAGTGTGCTGTGTTCGTTGAGGTTCAACATCAACAATGTGTTGTGTGCCGTGTCTGTGCTGCATATTTTCTCAATGGCCTTAGACCGACTTGTGGCCGTGTGTAGACCCCTGCTGTACCGGCAACTCTCAGAGACAACTGGGTACGTCATGATATCTTTATCGTGGGGGGTTCCCCTTGTGTTTATGTTTATACCCCATATGATTGTGTGGGATTTTAACACAGACAGCCAACAATGTTTTATTTATAATTTCCACTGCGCAGCCCCGTTTAAAAAACCTTTTCTGAATGCGTTCTCGAGCGTTGTTCTTTTTGGGTCGTTTGGTGCCACCTACGTCATTTATTTCATTGTCCTGTGGAGAGTTCAACAGTTTCACAAACGGAAGGAGAGATTTGCTAAAAATTGGAATGAAATATCACACGAGAGAAACTGCACAGATAAAAACTTGAATCCCGGTGGAGGAAACTTTATAGGAATGGTACGAAAAACGTTAAGAGGAATGTGTGGATTAGGTGGAGCAGAGGACGGTAGAAGTGGTGGAAATTTTCAAGATAGAGGTACAGTGGAAAATGTTATGTACATTGGTAAAAGGGCTCAAGTTACTAGTATTGCCAAGAATCATGTTGAAGTTACTAGTAACGTCAATAATGTAGCATTGAAGCCGTGGTGTGATTTAGACCAAGTCCAATATGCCTCAACGTCCAATGTTTGTGAAACTGATCCTATTAGTGTCTGGACGTGCAGCAGGAAGGTATTAAGTCATGATGTCGCGCTTATAAGCAGGTTCCGCACAGTGGTTCCACCCACAATCAACCCACACACACCATATCCAGATGCCACACCCACAATCAGCCCACACACACCAAATCAATATACCACACCCACAATCAGCCCACACACACCAAATCAAGATACCACACCCACAATCAGCCCACACACACCAAATCAATATACCACACCCACAATCAGCCCACAAACACCAAATCAAGATACCACACCCACAATCAACCCACACCCACCACTACCTGATGCTACACCCACAATCATCTTACGCCCCAAGGCCGCTGTCTCGGCCAAGCGAAACTTACGAGCATTCCGAACAATCGGTTACGTGTTGTTGTGTTTCACCATCAGCTGGTCGCCGTCCGTCTGCACCGCCTCCATCCTGTCTTCCAGCGACATCTTGATCCCCAACTGGGTGTTCTGGACCATAAATTTGATGGTGTACGTCAGTTCAGCCCTGAACCCAGTACTCTACTGTAGCAACAGGTCTATTCGTCGTGCCGTCATGTCGCTGTTAACATGCAGGAAATCACCATCATAGACCATCTCAGTTTTACACGGCTGATGGGTCGGAGTGGACTAGCGGTAGAGCGCTAAACCAAATTCTTAATTACGAATCCGGGTAAAAGTTAGTAGAACGTCACTGAGTACACCCAGCTCTAATAAGTACCTAACTAATGTTATGGAAAGTAATGGCGGCTGGACAGAGTGCAGACCATGCTATCCCTTCATATGTCGAATTTACAGAAACAGGTGAACACTACTTCATTTGAACAATAGACAGCCAGGTTCGAAAAGGAAACTTTAGTTACTTCTTACACGGTTGATTACTTGATCAGATTGTTACTTGCACATTACCGAAAACGTTTTCATTGAATTAGGAAGAAGATTTTGAAGATAAAAAAGTTAACAATAGCTTGACGACGAGAGTTAGACAGAGCTATCAAGTTTTGTCACTTCACATATTATTTTCTTAATGTTTAGTGGAACGGAGGGGTCAAGTTGTGGATCACGAGGCTATAAATCTCATCGTAACGAGTTCAGTTCCAAGTTCCTAAACTACGTCACACAATGTGTTCTACTTGATCTGTTTTGGACATTTGCTTTGCTTTACTGAATCTAAATAAAGACAGATAAGCAGAACGATTATAAAATCGACAGTAAGAAATTTTAATAGAGATGTTATTTCTTTAAGTTTACCCAATTTAAAAAAAAAAAATCTGTGACTAGTGTTTACCCAAGAGATTTCTCGCTGTAAAAATAAATATGTTTTAACTATTTTAAACAGGTTGTGTTTGTTTGATAAAATATCTAAACCATACATCTAGTAATGACATTTTTAGTCAGATGTTCATTAAAAAATTGTTTGTGGCCATTGAAAAAAAATTATAACTATATATAAATGCAGCATTAGTGTTATCTAGTTTGTTGTATCGTGCACTATTCGTTGTGTTGTTATCCAGGAAACCCCTAGACAGAAGAACCCAGCACAGCATGAGTGTTTCTTAAGACTTGTGTTACTAGATCTACCATGGGTGATACAAGTTCCTAGGCGGGAAAAATGTAGCTGAAGAGGAAACGGGTTAGATTCTATTTGATACAATCAGTAAACAAGTCAGAACGTCGACAAGTTGGGGCACAATGGTATGAATAAATAAGGAATGTTACCAATATAAAATGTGGGACTGCTAAGTCGAATGGTACAGCGTTTAATTGTTAGCCCAAAGGTTTCGAGTTCGGACCTCGGTTCGGGTTTGTGACTTCAGGTAAAGGCTGTTTGACATAGTGCCTACCACACCATCCCTTCATATGCCGAGGTAAAGCAATATATGAATGAGATTACTTCAATTACCCAATTAATAGCCAGGTCTAAAGAGGAGCGTATGCTTTACTGGTCTTAATACAATGCTTAAACAAAAAAAAACAGGGTTATATGCTTGTACTAAACCAAACAACTTGCAGATCAGCCTGATCAGGGTATAAACAACCCATGTTAATAAAGGTAATGCTTCTGACTTTCAATAAAGTGTTTTTAGTCAATGTTCTACCGCTTTATTACACAACTTTGAGGCATTGATTTTTATTTCCTAAAGTGTAAACATTTGACAAAATATTATTTAGGGACCAGTATAATATTAGTCTCTTTGAACTTAGTAAACATACGGCTATTGAAGTAAAATACAGTTTAAAAACAGTTAATAATTTGATTTTATTTAAATGCTACCAAAATGGTATATTTTGATTTTTACTGAAAATTCCCGATTTTCTTCTTTCCGGAAATGCGATTCTTTGTGTGCATAAAAACCTATTCCAACATACTGAACAATTCATTTCTATTATTTAAAATTCTAGTGGGTATAGAAAGGTAGTTAAAGTTTGGGCATACAAATCATAACGTGACTACTGTAGCTATTTTACCTTATCTTGTATGTACCATCTTCCGTTGAGTTTGTCGATGGTCGGTTAAGTAGTAATTTAAAATGCAACCAAATTAGTGACGCAGAAGAACCTTCACTAGATCGTATAAACTAAACTAGATCTAGATCTAAGTCGATACTAGAATGCTATACAGGTAAATAATGAACTTTAATATCAAGATTACAAATAAAATTTGCCTACTTACTCAATGGTATATTTTCTGCAACACAAGTCTAGTACTTTTTGCTTAATTGCTTGTTAATTTGGTTTAATGTTTATTGTAGGCTTTTAGTTTAACGCTAATTACATTAGTCAAAAACGAGTTTTATAGGTTTATCATCCCATCAGTTTTGTACTGTTTGCAGAATTTTGATACATATTTCATTAACGTAATTAGCGTTTTTTTTTTATTTTGTCGTATTAGTTTAATACTAACTCCAATTGAGATGTTAAGATCTAGAGGGAAAGTTGATGGGCGAAAACTTGCCTTTGTGGCGCTTGTATGCGGTGGATACGCTCTGTTTCTGGAGCTGAAGTCACTCGAGGAAAGCAGACGAGAGGGTTGGTGGAGGCAGAAGACAGAAAGCCAACCAAAGGTGAAACGAAACAACAGCGGAGCTAAAAGTATGACATTGGTTGTATTTTTTCATATCGCGTATTTAAGCCAGATTGTGGGCAATTATTTCAATAAAAATTCACTTTAATTTTATTATTTGTCAATAATCTGTTATTAAAATATGTCCTAAAATGTGAAGAATTCGTAACTAATCGGCTCTGATGAGTTATCACTTACCTTTTAAATCTTTTAGATATTTCAAATTTCTATTTTAAAGTCCATAATATTCTTAAAGTTGTGAGTCGTTGTATGCTAAAGTCTGAATTTTACGTTAAGATATGCTGATTGACTACAACAGAAGGTTTGGGACTGAGAGGTTAAAGGTTAACCCCAACAATGTCGACTCCATCAAGACGTGGTACACTGCTCTAGCCATGATTGACTGGTAATTAAAAAAAAATTTTGTAACAATAGAAGCTGATGTTGTGGCGCTAGTGTAAAAACTAACGATATGTATATACATGAGTTTTATCTAGAACATTCGATGGTTGATATTGTTTATCAATTTAACACTGTTACAATATCTTGTATTCAACATGTAATCATCTATTGTAGCATCATTATAAGTGTATGTGGGCTTATATGTAATGCTTACAAATTATGAGTGATAGAGAGCGTTTGTATAAATGTGTTTATGTTCTTTGTTTCAGGTACCTGGATATAGGTGTGGAGAGTTTGAAATGTGAAGACAAACAGATGTACGACTTTTGGTCTTTTTGTCAAGAAACAAAATTTAGTGTACAGTCGCCTTGTATAGTTTACTCGTTTGGGTAGGTTTTGCTTGCATTTGGTCAGGTCTATCATTTATTTGGGAAGGTTCTTCATACATTGTGTATTTTTTCTACGCTTATGTAAGTATTTCCTTAATTTGAGCCAGCATTATTCCCCATTTTGTAAATTTTATTTTAAAAAGATTAGCTTAAAAATACCTTTGTTTTAAATCTGTTTCCGTTTAAGCTTTATATAAATTTCTAAAATTGTATCCAATATTAATAAAAATTCAATAACGTATGTCAATTCCATCCCCCTTTATACTGAGAATACAATAAATAAAATACGTCAATTTCACCTTTCTTCAGACTGAGAATACATTTTGAGTTTGAAGACAGGTTTGCACATTTGGGTTGCGTCGTAAAATCGTTTGACCCCAGGTAAGAACATTTAAATCTTTGAATAAGCGCGTAATTTTTATTTTTTTATTTTTTTTTTGTAAATAAAAATCTGGATATTCTATTGAACTCGATATATTTATTTTTCTTTAAACTTATGTTGAAGTGAATAGGACTTTTTTTGTTTTAATTCAACAAAACATTACTTTATCTAATTTTTAATAGATGTTTTATGTTTTAAACTCATTTCTATTCATGTTGTTAGGTTTAAAGTTATATAAAAATTACAACAAAAACAAAACGTAATCATTAACGTTTTTAAATCGTGATCGTTTTATTGGACAAAGAAAGTTTATTAATCGCCATAAAATATCTCAAGTTGTATTAACACAAAATAATTATTTAGATTCATACTGTATGTATGAAGAAAAATAACTTTGCTTCAGTTTGTTTATAATCTTAAACATTTATAAACTGGTTATTTTAAAACAGCACACTTTAGTTATCTTTTAAATGATCTATTTGTATAAAAACGATTAACATAATTTTTTAAACTAAGAAACTGTTTTAACAATTCCACGTCATCAACATTGTTTTTTAATATTCGTAGCATAAATATCTCGGGCCGGATAAAAAGCCCAAATGTTGACTTCTACAACATTGGGATCGGTGCGGTCAACACTAACGTGTACATGCCAACTCAACCAGCCGCGCGAACAACCAGGAAGAAAGGACCGTGGAAGCTGAGGACATTGAGGACCATCTTACAGATGCAGGGGCACCAAAACGTACGTCTATTCATATAGTTTTAGTTACTGTCTCTTAGATTTCCAGAATACAATGTGTTACTTTTAATCGTTTCGATTTGAAATTGTCGTAATTTTTGCCCTGAAAATAATTCAGGTTAAAATATAAATCAAGAGATCGTCTTCTATTTTTCCAGAATGTTCTTGGCGTGTTGAAAATTATGAAAATATTGCTTAAAATCATCCTGTATTTTCCAGAAAATTCTGGACGTGTTGAAGATTGTGACAAACATTGCTTAAAAACCTCCTATATTTTCCAGAAAATTCTGGACGTGGTGAAGATTGTGACAAACATTGCTTAAAAACCTCCTGTATTTTCCAGAAAATTCTGGACATGATGAAGATTGTGGCAAACATTGCTTAAAATCCTCCTGTGTTTTCCAGAAAATTCTGGACGTGTTGAAGATTGTGACAGACATTGCTTAAAATCCTCCTGTATTTTCCAGAAAATTCTGGACGTGTTGAAGATTGACATCAAGTCCAACCTGTGGGTGGTGCTAGACAACATCCTGGAGACGGGGGCGTGGCGTCAGATTCGTCACCTTCTGTTGGAGTTCAACCTCTACCCCACCCACCCACACAAGGAGGATTACGTCATCTTATATAGGGTAACCTGCTAATGTATCTCTTTATTTGGTACTGTAAACTAACTGTAGGTATTTTTTTATATTTAGGAAACGAATCAGTTCACAGTAACCCTAACATAAATTGTGCCCTGCATGTCACTAGACGCACTTTAACATCTATAGGTTCTACATCCCAATACCACAAGCAACAATACTGAGCACTTCTTCCTTTGACTAATCACTTTGATACTCTAGAATTCCAGTGCCGGGGATCAAAGAGATACCTAATGCGACAAGTAATTGTTACAAAAAGCCAACTTTTCAGAAAAGATTGTACATTTGGTAGATAAAGTAGAGCTTATCTGTTTTCTTTATCCTCGATATTTTAAGATACAGCATAGTCAGCGACGTGGCCAATTTGGATTTACGACCCGAGTTATGTTGGACTCTAGGGCGTAATATCGACTCTGGCCGGTAAACAGAGATCGAGATTTTTGCGGTTTAGAAGTCGTTGCACATAATGGCATTTTTTTTGGTTTTCAGATGTTGACCAGGCTACGGGAGGTCGGGTTCATCGAGTACTACAGATCCCCCTCAAGTGACATGGTGCTAGAGGATGAAAGCGTGTACCTGCATAGACGTGTGTCATACTACAACTCACACTTAGTGCTGGACAGTTGAGCTACAACTCACACTGGACAGTTGAGTTACAACTCACATTGGACAGTTGATCTACAACTCACATTTAGTGCTGGACAGTTGAGCTACAACTCACACGGGACAGTTGAGCTGCAACTCATACTGGACAGTTGAGCTACAACTCACACTGGACAGTTGAGCTACAACTCACACTGGACAGTTAAGCTACAACTCACACCTACACTGGACCTACACCACCACCATTATCTTCCATAACCTCAAGTCGGCTTATTTTCAAGTAAATACACTTTATAAAGTCAGTCCATTTCTTTGCATTATCCATTACTATGCTGTTAAACAATATTTGTCATGTATGAATACACATTTTTACTTTCTCGTATATACGAAGTATAGAGAAAGTCTTGTGATCGTGCAAAAAACAAATCGAGATTTTTACAAATCTCGACGTTTTACACCTCACCAAAACATAATTTTGCAATCTTGTCCGTATGTCTGCGTGTGTGTGTGTGTCTGTCTGTCTGTGTGTGTGTAAACACGATAACTTGAGTACCGTTACAGCTAGGTTGATGAAATTTCTTATATAAGTATTTTATCAAAATCGTAGATCCGTATCAACTTTTGAGCGATTTCCGATAACCGGAAGAGGTACTTTTTCTATTTTGAATTTTTCAAAAGCCTATAACTTGAGTACTATTCAGATAGATAAATGAAATTTCACATGTAAGTAAAAGATCTAATTCTCTATCTTCTGTTAAATTTTGAGTAATTTCCGTTGACCGGAAGTACTAATTTACGCTATTTCCGATTTCTCAAAAAACGCATGTAAATTTATAAAGTACTAATAATATTGCGCACTATTATGTACATCTTTATTTGGCATTCGCTTGGTGAGCAATTCTTTTTTCTACTTGATTCTATTCTATTTTTAAAAGTTTAAGTAAACAAAAATTATGTCTATATTCAAAGTTGCCATCCCACGTATTATATTAGAATATTCGAGAAAGTTTAGGGGAAATCACTCCCGGTTATAGTTTAAAAAAAAATACGTAACAAAAACTGGATTTACATTTTGTCAACAAATAATTGGCTTGATATCTTTTCCAATGCGCTACATGTCATTAAATAATTGACTTGATATGTTTATCAATTACAACAAATAATTGACTTGATATATTTATCAATAACAACAAATAATTGACCTGATATGTTTATCAATTACAACAAATAATTGTCTTGATATGTTTATCAATTACAACAAATAATTGACTTGATATGTTTATCAATTACAACAAATAATTGACTTGATATGTTTATCAATTACAACAAATAATTGACTTGATATGTTTATCAATTACAACAAATAATTGACTTGATATGTTTATCAATTACAACAAATAATTGACTTGATATCTTTTCCAATGCGCTACATATCATTAAATAATTGACTTGATATGTTTATCAATTACAACAAACAATTGACTTGATATGTTTATCAATTACAACAAATAATTGACTTGATATTGTGCTTAGACACCAATCCCTGTTCCAAACACGCAGCCATTTATGTTTCTTGTCTTTGATACCGTGGTACCTGCATCTGGTATTTACCTGGTCTGTGTCTTCACTCTGTGATCTGTGACAACCGGAAAACACTACAACCATTCTACGGCTTCTGACTTACAATTTCTCAAAAACAATAACCTATTCTAATTTGATTTTATTCGAGTTTCATCATATAACTTAAATACTAAATTATCTTCTTTCTGTAAAAATCATATCTACTTAGAACTAGGACACTGAAATAATTTGTGTAGGAGTAATTTATCTCATAACCAAAACTTTAGGAAAGTTTCAATAAATTATATTTTTAGTTCACTTTATCTTGACTAAAATTTAATTATTATAAATTTAACGTTCAGTTTAGAAAAAAGATTATTTTCTGGCAAATCGACCATTAACACAGTTAAATAAGGACCACCGCAATCACCAATCAAACGTTTAAACAGCGTCCCATGTTTTGACGTAATGTTCTAACAACGATAAGCAAAAAAAATTGTTGACGAACGTTTTAAATCGTTAGCAACACGACGTCATACGAAACATTTGAAGCCGCGGCAACCACGTTCTAATCGTGTAGTTTTATCTAGCGTTGATTTACTGATGATGCGTTTTATTTTCATGTTCAACTTAATACACGTGATTAATGGTAAAATGATAAAAATCAATAGATTCTATTTTTGCTGTGATTGTTTTGATGAATCGTGGTCCGTCCCAACAAGAGCGAGTATTTAAACATTTCATGGAAATATTTAATTCGGAAACTTCTATTTTATGGGACAAATATCTTTTATTTGTTTTTATTTGACGCTATATGCCATAGAAATTTGCATTTGGATTTCCTTTTTATTAAAAATATTGCTCGCCAATAAAAAAAAGTTGAAAGTGTTTGATAAATATTTCTGAAGCAGTGGCGCTTAATTACAACGCCGATGTTCGGGAATTGTTCAACAGGACTACCACCGATTGTGACGACGTTACATTGCTAATTATCTAAACTCATTTATAATGCTTATCTATTGCGATATTGCAAGAAATTATATTTTCGTTTGCGAAACAAATTTCGTTGTGAGGTTTAGAAATTGTGAGTTAAGATAGTTAATGTTTTTATAATCGGTTCTGCTTGTACCTAGCCAGAGCTAAACTAAAACAAAAAAGTTTGAGATGAATGGGACGTTTTGTAACCTGGCCTCCGGCACGCTTCTGGAACAATCTGTGATGAGCCAGAACAAGCTGGTCCTGGTACCTTTAGCTGTGGTGTGTTCTGTGATAACTGCCTTTACGATTGTCGTCAACTTGATGCTGATCATCGCCCTCGTCAGATCCAGAAGTCAGGAGACCAGACAGGCACCTGGTAAACATGGAATAACGCAGATGTTGATGACGTCCATGGCGGTTTCTGATTTCATCTTTGGTGTTTTTCTCATGCCGCTTGGGGTGGTGGAGATCACGACCAACGGAGTTTGGGACTTTGGCGACGGTTTCTGCTACACAAGGATATTGTTAAACAACCTCTTGTGTTCCGTGTCCATATTCCATTTAAACTTTCTGGCTCTGGATAGAATACTGGCTGTGTACAAGCCGCTGTGGTATCGACTCCGAACAGCTAAAACAGGTGCCCTGATGGTTTCTATATCCTGGACGGTTCCAATAGTTAGCATTCTGTTTTTTGAGGTTGTATCTTTACAGCATGTATCTCTGCAGATCTTTCAAGAGCCAGAGGTTGTTACAGTTATTATCATCAATTTCTTTATACCTTTATCTATTTCCTACATTCTGTATGTAGCTCTAATCATGAAAATTGTAATTTACAATCTACAAACACGAAACAAAAATAACAACAGGCAATCACAATTTTCTGCACACAATGATAACGCTGGAGCATTCAATTTCGAACAACCAAACAATTTCAATACCAATGCAACCAACTTGAGTTTGGTGTCATTGGTCAACATGCCAAGCCATAACTCTAGTATTTCAAGCCTAGTAACAGACCAGACAAATGCCCAACTAGGAAACGTGTCTATAAATAAAAAGACACGTCAACGTATGTTTAAGGCTCTACGAACCATCGGCTCTCTTGTGGTAGCTTACACGGTGTGCTGGCTGCCGTCGTGGATATCCCCACCAATCATTTCTGTTGACCACTTACCTATGTGGTACGTCATGTTCCTATGCTGGATGGGATATTTTAACTCGGCCATCAACCCGTTGCTTTGTTGTTTTAACGTGTCTGTCAGGAGGGCCGTCAAATTATTCCTTCACGTCAAAGTTTGTTGACAAACATCAGCACACTCTGACTCATCGACATCGTTTTGTAATGTCTATCGCATTGAAACAATAAACGCTATAAAATATTGCATGAACTAACGCCTATGTGCAGCAATGTGTTTCTTTTGATAAACGCATTTTAAACATTGATGCATAAAGAAAGTTTCAAAGAAAGGACATAAAGCATACGAATTTTCAGAATGAATCTTAACAATAAAGTTCAAGTAATTTATTGAATATATTTCGTTCTCTGGTCGGTAAAGTTCATTGTGCTAAACTTAAAAGTTCCTAGTTCGAACCCCTGGGCAGATGAGGTTCGATAGCTGTGGACAGCAACTCATCTAGGTGAGAAACCTCCAAAATCAAACAACTGTTTCCTTGTAGTTTGTTCTTAGATAGACAAAAGTAAACGGAATAAAATCCAGAAGGAAAATCGGGCTGAAATTGGAGTCAACGGACCATAAATCGCATAACTTCAGGAAATCCTTTTAAACATTTAAAATTAAGAATAAAGAAGGATAAATTCTAATAAATAAATTGTTGAAAAAAATAGTAATGACAAAATTGTTTTAAATTTTTTATTGCGTAATGTATGTTTCATTTCTTTTACTGCTCACATTGATCCTTTATACATTAACTGTTGTAAAAGTTACAAATTGAAAACCTCTTGAATTTATTTCATTACATTTTAGTGGCCATTGTTTTTAATATTAAATAAAAAGCGTCAACAGAATTTTTTTTTCTGTTATTTTTGCAATTAGTAGAAAAAATAATTAATTAAAACATTCGGCATCAAATTGGTGTATAATGTAATATTTTCTGATGTAATAGATTTAAATCAGACGCAATTAGTCACTTTGATTTAATTCTAGTTTTTGTTTTGTAAAGTTGATTGATATTGCTATTATGTACAATGTTTTAACGTGTATACGTATTTAACATCATCTTTTTCCCGTGCACAATACGCATGAAAAGATTAAGTGGATATGATCTGTCTCAATAGTCTTGCAATATGATTGATAATCTGGTCGGCACTATATTCAGCCACCTACAACCTCGTAAACGGGATCCGAACTAGAGACTTTCCAATTAACAATCGTACACTCTACCATCCAATCAAGCCAGTCCCTATTATTCTAATTTATAAATAAATTTATACAACTTGAATTTTTCATCAAATAAAAAAAAACTAAATTTATGTTGAGAGTGTGTACCCATTAAAACATGATATACACATCATGCAGTCTATTATGACTAGTGTATTCGTATTGTGTATGTATAGACGTTGCTGCAGTAACTTGAAATACTATCGAATCTTTGTGTAAGTAAGCAAGAGATTCTGACGTAACTCTTCCATCAACATTTAACTGTTTTAGCATACACAACATATTAAGACGTGTATTATTTATCTCTAACTTATGATTGTTTTAAGTATAATAATATACATTTTCTAAATACAAAAACATGAATGTGGATAGATCGGTTTAAAAAGTGTAAACTACATTTTGGTATTTTTATGTCCACATTTTTAGTTTTAATAAGCAATGTTCCTTCAGTGATGTCATTTGATCCAGATTTAGCTTTCGGACATATCCCATTCCGGTGTGTTAGGTTTTGAGCAAACGTCTATTTAGGCAAACGTCCATTGGGGCAAACGTCCATTGCGGCAATCGTCCGTTGGGACAAACGTCAAATCGAGCACGTTGAATCTTTTTAAACAGAAAAAAAAATACAAAGAAAGCACAAACTCCAACAAAATTGCAAATACAACTCAAGCACAAAAGAAAACGCAAACGTAAACACAAAACACAAACGAAAACACAAACACAAACACAACAGAAAACAAACGCAAACAAAACGCAAAACACAAACGCAAAAACAAATACAAAAGAAAACACAATCTTAAAGAAACGCAAACCCCAACAAAATCCAAAACGTAAACGCTTTATCAAAGGGCTTTATGAAACAACGACCGTGCATACAAATGCTCTCACGCACCGCCGAACAAACCGTTTTCATATGCGTCCGAGCCCAGTGACAGCCTTTACCACATTTGTTTTCTCCGAAAAAAAACAACAAATAGTATAAAAAGGAGTAAAAACTTTGTCAAAAAAAAAGAACAAAAATTAAGTCAAAACTTTGTAAACAATAAAAAAAATTAAGTCACCTAAATAGATTCCACTCCATTACTACCAATAAGACAATGCTACGCAAGTGAATGTGTGGCAAGTAGTGTTTACTTTTATGGTTCTTAGAAAACACTTGCAATGTAATTAGAATCACGGCCAAACAACAAGCTTTCCTAAGCGTCCGCGTCCAAACAGAGCCTTTCCAGCATTCTCTACAAGTCTAATTCCACCATCTGTTGAAATAACACTTACATTATTGAGCGTGCATTGAATTTCTTTTTAAATTACCTCCCTTGGCAAAACTACAAAACAGTTAAATAATTTAGTTTTTTCGACCTTTCTATTGTTAAAATGTATTAATTTACTCTAAACATCTAAGCGATAATATTATTTGACATTGATCCATTTAATATGTTTTAGCAATTTGCGTGCATTTAATATTTTCTTTACGTTATGCAAAAGAGTAAAAACGGTGGCAACTATAAACTAAATTTAAATCGTTATGTAAAAACAAACCCTACTTTATTACTTATAATAAGACAATGCGATGCAATGTAAAAGCAATGCATGCGACCAATACAACACCCTTTCAACTAGTCAACTTAAGTTGTTTCCCTACATAGAAAATGCTTCACTGGCCCATTGACCCTCTCTGAAAAATTTCCTTTCCTCTCCCCACCCAGACTACTGACACTTTCATTTGACCTTCACCCCTTTTACTGTCATCCTTTGCAATTTTTTTTATAATCATGTAAATATTCATTATGTACATTTGCAAAACCTTTCGTTTTCATTTGATGTTCAAAATTATGTTAAAAAATTTGATGTTGATGTACTTGTTTAATTGCAAATAAAAGTATTAAAAAAATGCATGGTGCGATCTTTGCTTTTATGGTTCCAAAATCTATTTCAATGACTGACTGATACACTACCAGCAGCGTTATATTATATACTAGCTGCATGCCCGTGCTCTGCCACGTTATCTCTTTTTTATTGTACCAACTTGGAAACAGAGCAAAACAAAACACAACAGAAACACAACAGAAACACAACAGAAACACAACAGAAATACAACAGAAACACAACAGAAACAACAGAAACACAACACTAACATATATATATATATATATATATATATATATATATATATATATATATATATATATATATGACGTCTAATAATTGATAAGCGGCTTTGTTGTCATGTTTCCAGTGTGGTGGGTCTGGCAACGATTTACATTTTTAAAATGGAACGTTTTACATTATAATCTCATGATAATTGATCACAAGTAATTATCGACTAATTGATCGCCTGCCTTAAACAAACAATGATTGTCGAGTTAAAATGTGGGGATCACTCGCCGCAGTAGGTTAGCCAACAGACGAACGATACCAGCAAACACAGTGGTCATAAAACAATACCGCTTTGTCGTCTGATTCTATCTCTATCGTGACGTTTAACTATTTTGTTCGGACGTTGATAACGGCATTTTTAGACATCACTTAATTGATTTAATTTGTTTGAATTAAAAGTAAACAGCGCAACAACGAACAACCACATTCGGGAAGAAAGATTTGAAACTTTATTGAAGTGCGGTGCTTCTTGTAACAGCAGATTTATAGGTGGCATGTGTATGTTGTGACTTTTCTCATACCAGTAAGAGCGGTATAACTAGAGTAACGTTTAACGTTAACTTTTTAACTATATTTACGTAAAATTTTAACATTTTACTTTGGTATTGATTATACTATTACTTTACGAGACTGAAAATGCTACGCAAAGCTTTCATTTTTACAGCAATTATTTGATTGACTCTCAAAATTAGTTTGGTTCTTGAAAAAATCTTTTGACGACAGCGAAATAAAACGATTTCAATGAATAAAACAATCTGTTTCGTAGCAAATACCGCGTATAAGCAATACGATGGGATCGACACAGCTAACTTCGTTGTACCTTTAGCTGTTGTGTGTTCTGTGATAACTGCCTTTACAATTGTCGTCAACTTGATGCTGATCATCGCCCTCGTCAGATCCAGATCTCAGGAGACGAGACAGGCGCCTGGTAAACATGGAATAACGCAGATGTTGATGACGTCCATGGCGGTTTCTGATTTCATCTTTGGTGTTTTTCTCATGCCGCTTGGGGTTTCAGAAATCACCAACAACGGTAATTGGAATTACGGGCTTAGTATGTGCCAAGTTAGAACATCTTTCACTAACATCTTATGCGCCGTGTCAGTTTTCCATGTGAACTGCTTGGCACTGGATAAACTGTTGGCCGTGTACAAGCCGATGTGGTACCGCTTGAGGACTGTCAGGACGGGTTATGTAATGGTCTCCTTTTCTTGGCTGTTTCCTGTAGCACTTACCGTGTACTGCCAGATCGCGGTGTTAAACCAGATGGAAACATCAAATCAATCTGTGAATCCTTTAGTTATGTTTTTCCTTGTTGTAGCGTTTTATCTTCCTTGTATGCTAGCTTATGTGTTATATGCGGCTATACTTCAGAAGGTTCTGAGGTATAACAGGAAGGATTTTAAACCTAAATATACAATAGAAAGATCTTCTGTTGGTATACAATATACAGAAGGCACCAGAGATATTTCCAAAATCAGCGAGTCTACTATGATTCCTGGGACTGCATCTTATATTACATGCAACATATCAAATGATGAAGCAGTTCCAAAGATAGGCCCACGTGACAATGCTACTAACATACTTACAAAACAGAATGGAAAGAACGATAAAAGAAGTGGCAGAGCCATTTACACCATTGGTTCGTTGATGGTGTGTTTCACAATCTGTTGGGTGCCATCTTGGTTAGGTCCGCCAATCTTGACAGATGATCAGCTGCCATTTTGGTTCTCCTTATATGGCTACTGGGTGGGTTACTGTAACTCGGCCTTGAACCCAGTGCTGTGCTGTTTAAATAGGTCGGTCAGACAAGCGGTCAGTTCATTTGTTCAGTCGGTCATAAAAGCTGTCATTTCGTTTGTTCAACAAGTCTGACAAGCGGGCCTATCGTTTGTTTAATGTAATTCCTGTTCAAATTAATTCGATAAAAACTTCAATAATGGAGATTAATTTCTGTGTTTATTCCGTACTTGAACAGTCCCAAGACCTAGAATGACTTGCAGACCGCAATTCTCATGAAACTGTTATGACGCCCATGATTCCACCCAGCTGGGAAGAGCACCATGTTTAGTGAAATAATAAACTCCACATCGTTAACCACACAGGCAATCCGTGTGATGTGGTAAATGAAATTGTTTATAAAGTAAAGAGTACAAGAATAAACAACTCCACCGGCACTGTGAAGCTACAGGTCGCCGTGAATAAGTCACCTTTTGTTTGGTACATTTTCAGCAAAATGAATAAACAAAACGATTGCTAAATAAGTAAAAAAAAAAGCACTTTGTCTTTTTTTGTGTAATTGGAAAATAAAACGAAGTATTATTAACAAAACATAAAATTACCATTTAAAAAATACGTTAGTTATTTAAATTTATTCCTCCTTGGGCCAGATATTTTTTTATGTATTATTATAAAACTAGCCATCGGTACCCGTTTCACGTTAATTATAGGCCTATATATTTTTAAATGTTGTACTTGTTTGAGAAAATTAATTTATGAAATAGTTATTGGTAAAAACGCAATGTGCTTTACTAAACGCTGTACGATATTATTGACAAAGCAAAAAAATAGATAATTAGCTAAAAATCCGACACATTTAACATACCACAGGCACACACTGATTAAATGACTTAAATGATTCCGTTAAAATCTGGCTATTCAATTGTCATTATGTTGTTTTTAAGTAATTTGTATTAGTTTGACCGATAAAATTGTATATATTTCATAGCATACGTCTTGATGAGTAGATCTTTAGATCTAGATATAAATCAAATTTAAATGAAGTAGATCCTTTCTTTATAGTCTAAAATCGGAAGATTCACATATAAAAAAATATTTTAAAAAATAACTTAGACTTGGTGAGTCTCGATCCCGCAACACCTGCGTGGTATTAAGTACACTATCATCTCAGCTATTTATAAAAAAATATGGAGAATGAAAGACGTATTTAAAAAAATATTTAACTTACGCGAATATGCTTATTCTTTCTAATTATTTTTTTATCCCAAAATATCCAGTTCCATAGCTAAACAAACAAAGATTTCTATAAAATAATTAAGGCCTGAAATAGTTTAATATAGAAATTTATTTTTGGAATAGATTCTAGTGTAGATAGTCTAAATCTAGATCTTAGCGACTTAGTAGCGTCTACGTCTAGTTTTTACGTAGATCTAGATCTGGCTCTAGATCTAGAATCCAAATAGATAAAATAAATTTTATAAGTTTAGGCCGAAAAAATTGTATTGTATACATTTCATAGCGTACTTAGATCTAAATCAAATGTGAATGAAATAGTTCATTTCTTTTTATTCTAAACTCGACAGATGACGTCATTAGTTAATGTATAAACATTAGTGACGTCATTGTTTCATGGTTTCTTTTTCACAAATATAAACACTTTTCCTGTTGCGTAATTAAAACTGTTTTTCTACATTCGAATACGCCTTTATTTTTATTTTTCTTCTTTAAATAAAATGTTGGATATACATTTAAAATACCTTCCATATTATTTTCGAAAAAAGTCCGTATCAAGTTCTCCATATATCGCTGAAGATTCTGATGTGATACCCAGCGAAAATATTCTGCGGACAGAGAGAGAGAGAGAGAGAGAGAGAGAGAGAGAGAAGTGCGCACATGGTCTTTTATATATTAGGATACTGGGGAACATTGTATATCTGAGTTAAATCGTTAACATTTTTTTTATATTGCAACTCGGGATATAGACATGATTTTTAACCAATTTTTAATTACTTAAACTTTTTAAAATTGAATAGAATATGGTAGAACAAAGAATTTGCGTATCAGGTGAAAAGCATATGTGTATAATAGTGCGGAATATTTATACTTTAAATATTCATGTGCGTTTTTGATAAATCAGAAATAACGTAAAGTACTACTTCCGATACACGGAAATTACTAAAAAAAAAAATCATCAGAATTCAGAGAATAAGATCTTCTACTTATATGTGAAATTTTTTCGTCTAACTTAATAAAAATCAAGTTATCGGCTTGAGAAAAAACAAAAAGAGAATAAATTTCCACTTCCGGCTACCGGATAATGCTCAAAAGTTAATGCAGAAATAAAAATTGTATGTAGTACTTATATATAAATTTTTCATCAACCTCGCTGTAACGGTACTCAGTTTGACGTGTTTACAGATACACATACACACATACTTACACATGAACGAATTCTCCGACTAGATTACGCGTAAAACGCCGAAATTTTAATAAATGTGGGTTTAGAATTTTTTCCGAATACATTAAGTCCCCTGTAGTGCGTATATGATGAAGTAGCCTACTAAGAAGCAAAACGGTGAAAACTGTCAAAATTGTATGTGATTTTTTTTCACGATTACAATACTTCCTCTATACTCTATATACGAGAAAGTAAATAAACCGGAAGTGATCTCCACAAACATTTCTGAAATATTCTTATATAACACTAGGGTGTATTGCAATTCGGGGTATAGACATGATTTTTAATCCATTTCTAATCACTTAAACTTTATAAAATAGAATAAAATCTCATAGTGAAAAGAATTGCGCACCAAGTAAACGCAAAACAAGATGTGTATATTATTGCGGAATATTATAAGTACTTTATAAATTCACATGCTTTTTGTTAGAAATCGGAAATAGCGTAAATTACTACTTCCGGACAACGGAAATTACTGACTACATCCAATCTGGGAGAGACAACGCCAAAAACAAACAACAGTTGCTGCCTTGTAATTTGGTCGTGGATAAACAAATGCATTGGAAGCAAATCCAAAAAGAAAAGCAGGCTGAAATCAGAGACAACGGTCTATATGGCGAATAATAATACTTATGATGTTGGAGGGAATCCCTTGTAAGACTAGATTGAAGAAAGAAGTCGAAGACGCCCCTGAATATGATTTTTTTTCTTAAATTTTTGTGATGCTTTGATTGTGCCTATTATTTTAACGGCATCTTTTCCTATTCAAGAAACTTGGGGGAGAAAGTAAAGTCCATCTTTTTCAATATTCTCGTAGATTGTATGTTTGTTTAGTAATAGTTAGTTTTAGCGGCCGTTATATTTACTATAATTATGTATCTATTTTATAAAGTTATTGTTCTTTAAGTAACTAATAATTCCCCTGCGTTATTAATAAAATCAGTGAACAAAATACCAATTAATTATTATGGGCTTCTAGATTAGGCTATTTATACTTTTAAATATTCATATTTTTCTTTTTTTTTCTTTTCTTAATGTACTTTGGTGACATTGTTGACATTGTTCCTATTCTTAGTGTTTTAGTGACGTTTGAAAAATATCTATATACTAATAAAACTGCGATTTCTTTACAAGTTTGAGTATTTATATTTTTGTTTGTTTGTTTGTCCGTTTGGTTACAAGAGAGAGTCTGCACTATGTGTAGAGCTGTAAAATAGTATGTAGGCAGAGAACAATTTTATTTTTCAGACAGTTAATCACAAATTAATTTAAAGACGTTACTTAATTTATTGATTTATTCATTGGTAGATTAACCACGTAAATTTCAGAAGTTCAGAACAATGACTTTACTTATAGAGAATAGTGTCGTCACATGATTTATTTACTTTTTACATCAACAAAGGCGGCTTCCATACAAGATTTCGTTGCCCATTCAGAACTTTAACGCTTTATAAAGCTATATGTTTTGTCGGCTATAGCTTTAACAAAGCGTCTTTTTTTTTTGCAATTTTCTTTTTGTTTCAACACTATTATCAATTTTTAACAGTTCTTTTTATTTTAGTAGGCCTATACAATAAATTTCTCTAGATCCACAGATCAGCTGTCGAAGGAATAAATAGTTATGAATCTAGCTAGGTCACTAGACTTAACGTAAATACTAGATATAGACTTAATGTAAATTCTACATCTAGAATATATTACAGGCCTTAATTATTTTACATAAATCTTTGTTTAGCTTCAATGATCATCTAATTCGAGAATGCATGGGATTTATCTATCTAAGTTCTAGACCTAGATCTAAATCTAGATCTAGAGTTACGGCCAAAACTAGAATCTAGACCCAGCGTAAATTCTACATCTAGAATCTAGAAATATATACTAAACTATTTATTTCAGCCCTTAATTATTAATATAAATCTTTGTTTAGCTATGGAATTGGCTAATTTCGGATATAGGCCCCTAATTAAAGTTAAAATAATATGACCTATTCGCGTAACTGGTTTCTTACTTTGCAGTACATTATAGGACTAATTCTACATTGGTTACCCCGTACCCATATAATAAAGCTAAGATGGTAGTGTAATGGCTTCCATGCGGGTGGTACGGCTTCGAGACATATAACGACAAAGTTATTTTTTTCAATTTTTGTTTTTATAAACGTGAATGATGAAGAAGCCTATCGGGACCTCGCGGGACACAGGGCAGGTGAAGTAGAGTTCTTCTTTTTCTTTGTCCTCAGCATATGAAGGGATAGTGTGGTCAGAGACATGCTCGACCGTAATTGTTTTTTAAACGAAAAAAAAACATGTTGTCTGAGACTCTGCGGGACACTGGGCAGGTGAAGTTGAGTTTAGTAGGTCACATGTGACGTCATTATATGAAGGAATAGTGTGGTCAGACCCATGCTCGGTCGAAATCAGTGTTTTTCTTTAAAGATAAAAAAACGTCTTTTTGAATGAGAGGTATAGTTATTTTGTGATTATAAGTGACAGACGTGATGTCATTTATGGATGACCCCCGAAACCCACAGTTATCTAGCCAGATAACGGGTAGTCTAGTAGTTTATAAAAAAAAAATAGCTTAGTAATCTCGATAAAATTCTGACATTTAATACCCGGGCTCAATGCGTGGGTTCCCCCCCTCGCCACCACCCCACCCCCCCCCCCACCCCACACACACACACCTCAACCCCTTTGATGTGCTAGAAGCTTTTCTGTGACTCACGGGTCTATTAACTTGTTTCCAGCGTTGTGTGTCTGAGATAAACGAGTTACATATTTAACATGGAACGTTGACTGGCAGCTTTCATTTTAAGTTCATGATAAATATCACCAGTAATCATCTACTAATGGTTTATTTGTCTTCAATAAACCTCCAATGTCGAGCCTCAATTTGTGGTGCAATCGCCGCGATAACATATAGTCAACATAACAACGGTACAGGCAAACAATTCTCATAGAAACAATGTGGCTTTATCGTCTGATTCTATCTGTATCGGTAAGTTTTACGTATGATCAGTGGTAAAGCCGTTATTAGATGTGATTTGGTTGGTTTAACTGGTTTTGTTTTTAAATATAAACACAGCAACCACGAAAAAGCTCAGTTGAGACGAAATATTTGATACTTCAATGTAGTGTTTTCTTGTTACTGGAGTTTTTATATATTTGACAGGTGTATACGTTGTGACTTTTCTTAATAAACTTGTAAGGGTAGTAATATTATTGTTACGTTTGATTTTAACATTTTACACATGTATGGTTTATACTATTAACTTACGGGACTTGTAATACTATGCATTTGCTTTGATTATTTATAAATAATATACAAGCTACTAATTCATTCGTTCTCTAAAATTAGATTGGTTTAAGAAGAACCTTTAGTTGACAGCTAAATAAAACCATTTTCCATGAATACAACAGCTTGTAGCTTAACATTTGCCGAGTACAAGCAACACAATGGGATTGCCACTAGTACGTTCGTCCTGGTGCCTTTAGCTGTTGTGTGTTCTGTGATAACTGCCTTTACAATTGTCGTCAACTTGATGCTGATCATCGCCCTCGTCAGATCCAGACGTCAGGAGACGAGACAGGCTCCTGGTAAACATGGAATAACGCAGATGTTGATGACGTCCATGGCGGTTTCTGATTTCATCTTTGGTGTTTTTCTCATGCCGCTTGGGGTTTCAGAAATCATCAGCAACGGTCATTGGAAGTACGGGCAGAATTTATGCTATGTTAGAATATCTTTCATTAACATTTTATGCGCCGTGTCAATTTTCCATGTGAACTGCCTAGCACTGGATAAACTGTTGGCCGTGTACAAGCCGATGTGGTATCGAATGAGGACCGTCAGGACGGGTTATGTAATGGTCTCTGTTTCTTGGCTGCTTCCAGTAGTGTTACTCTTCTACACCCTGCCCGCGATGTTAAACCTGTTGGGACCCTTGAATACGTCAGTGTATTCGTTAGTACTGTTCTTCTTTGTACTAGCGTTTTATGTTCCTTGTATGCTAGCCTATGTGTTGTATGCGGCTGTACTTCTGAAGGTTATAAAGTATAACAGGAATAATTTCAAACCAAAATTAGCAGTAAAAAGCTCTTCTTTTGGTACTAATTCAATCAACATCGAAGAAATTTCAAAGATCTGCACCTCGAATGTGATATCAGACTCTGTTTCAAATATATCAACAAACGAAGTAAATTCAACCATTCGGCAATGTGACGAAATTAACCTACGCACAAACCAAAGTTTAACTGAAGTTCAAGGTAAGAGAAGTGGCAAGGCCATTTACACCATTGGTTCCTTGGTGATTTGTTTCACCATCTGTTGGCTGCCATTTTGGATAGGGCCGCCATTCTTGACAGAAGATCAGCTGCCATTTTGGTTCTCCGTACTTGGCTACTGGGTGGGTTACTGTAACTCGGCCTTGAACCCAGTGCTGTGCTGTTTCAATAGGTCGGTCAGACAAGCTGTCAAGTCGTTTGTTCAGTCCGTCATACAAGCTGTCAATTCGTTTATTCAATCAAAAGCTCGTTCAAAGTGATTCGACCATAGCATTCTAACATGGATTTTAATCTCTGTTTTATTTCGTACTTAACAGTCAAAAGACTTGCAGACCGCACTTCTCATGTAAGTGTTAGGAAATCCATGATTCCACGCAGCTGGGAAGTTCACCATGTTTTGTGAAATAATAAACTCCACATCGTTAACCACACAGGCAATCCGTGTGATGTGGTAAACGAAATTGTTTATAAAGTAAATAGTACAAGAATAAACAACTCCATCTGCACTGTGAAGCTACAGGTCGCTGTGAATAAATATCCTTTTGTTTAATTTACCGCAAAATGAATATACAAAACGTTTGCTAAATAAGCAATAAAGGCACTTTCTCTTCATGTTGTGTACGATTGGCAAAATAAAATGAACTATTATTAACAAAACATAAAATTACCATTTAAAAAATACATTAGTTATGTATTTAATTTTATTCCTTCTTAAAATTTTTCTTCTTAATTTTTTTACATGTATTATTATAAAATACTGGGGAACATTGTATTTCTGCGTTTAATTGTTAACAATTTTTTATGATAATAACACTAATATGTAAATGATTAGGTATCATAACTTACGTACATTTTAGTTGATACGACATTGATTTTGCAGAATACCGCGCCATAGACGTTTTTTGGTTTTAATTATTATAATTCCATGTCTACATTGTATACGTTATTTTTTATATTCTATATTTTAAAAACCCACCAAATTTTTATGTATGTTTTATTGTAGAAAACATTTGTTGTATTTTAAACGACTTTAATTATGAAAATAAAACTACAAAACCAGCACCTAAATAGTGGTATAAATTCATTACTTAGTTGTTTTCAAAGTGTAATTAAAACCTATATTAATAGCAACAAAATAAAATAATGTATATAGAGTATAGAAGATTTCTTTCATCGTGAAACCGTTGCAGATATATTCCTAAGATCTGCAGAATAAGCTGATTTGTTGTACCTCCTCTTATATAGTTAGAGTTCTTTTCATCCGCCTGAGAAGTATTACTCAAAGTTCTACTAAAAGTGCCTAGAGCGTCTTTAATCTTTGATATTTCGCAATAGTAACTTTTTACTTTTTCGTATACAGAGTATAGAGGAACTGTTGTAATCGTGCATGAAAATCACATGAAATTTCGACAGTTTTGAACGTTTTACTACTCAGTACTTCATCATATACAGAATATAGGGGAAAAAAATCTAAATCCAGATTTATCAAAATTTCGGCGTTTTATATGTAATCGAGTTTGAAAAACTGGGCTTTGCAATTCTGTTCGTGTGTATGTATGTGTGACTGTGAACATGATAACTTGATTACCGTTACAGTTAGGTTGATGAAATTTCAAATATAAGTATAATATCAAATGTGTAGTTATGTATCAAATTTTCAGCGATTTCCGATAAACAGAAGTGGGAATTATTCTATTTTGGTTTTTCAAAGCCTATAACTTGAATAGTGTTTCAGATAGATAAACAAAATTTCAAATATAAGTTAAAGATCTAATTATCTGCCCACTGTCAAAGTTTGAGTAATTTCCGATGATTGAAAGTAGTAATTTAAGCTATTTCCAATTTCTCAAAAAAACGCGTTGAATTTATAAAGTACTAATATTCCGCACTATTATTCACACATCGTTGGCTTTTCACTTGATTCGAAATGCTTTTTTAAAATGAAGTTATAATTTTAAAAAATTATTAAAAATAATGTCTATATCCCGATTTGCAACCCACGTAGAGTTTTATAAGAATATTCGAGAAATTGTAGCGGAGATCACTCCCAGCTTATTGTAAAAATGTCACATTTTCAATTTTACTCAAATGATGCATCGTGAGACTGAGTGATATAAATGTAGACTATCAAATTCTTCTTGTTAATGAAACAACCTTGTGAAGAGAAGATATCTATAGATTTCTGTGGTATTTGGGTATAAGATAAAATGTTAGTCAAAATGATACAACAATTATCCGAAATATGTCGTTACTGAAATCCTCTTTAATCGGTTTTTAACTACGTATTATAAATTTCAAAGATAAAATGTTGTGATTACATTGATGCAGAATGTATAATGTTACAATTTCTGAATGGGACCAAACGAATAAAACCATATATATATTATATAAATTTAAAAAAAAAAAAATATATATATATATATATATATATATATATATATATATATATATATATATGTATATATATATATATATATGTGTGTGTGTGTGTGTGTGTGTGTGTAGAGAGAGAGAGAGAGAGAGCAGTGTTTCTTCCAGACTTTTTTCTCCGGGGAGGGGGGGGGGGCACTTGAAATTTTCGAGGGGGCGGTAAACTTTCTTCGGGGGGGTGGGCGGACACTGTTAAAAGTATATATTTTCTATATAAATTATATAAATTTCATTCCGTTCGGGGGGGGGGGCGGTAAAAAATTTTCGGTGGGGGGGGGGGCGAAGAGATGCCTGGAAGAAACTCTGAGAGAGAGAGAGAGAGAGAGAGAGAGAGGGCAATGTATTTTTCATAAGGAGATTTCCAACATCTACTAGATCACGACAGCCTGCTATGTACTTAGTGATAGTAATTTTTTTAAAAATTATTTTTAAACAGAACTACTACATTCTAACAAGCACAAACAATAACAAGGCATCCAAAATAGAATACGCAATTACAATTTATTTACATAATTTAAAGAATGAAAACTTACACATCTAGAGCCACAAATATTACATGAACAAGTAATGTATAATAATAATATAGAGTTGTAATAACATATATTTAATGCCTAGCCTTTTCTAAAAAAATGATTTTAGAATCGACTACATTTTATTCTAATTATTTATCGGAAGAATTCGTGAATTTAAAAATTACGCACACCTAACGTTAGCTCTGGAAAAGACACAATTCAATCTCTGAAGACTTAAGGTCCGTAACCTGCTGTCTAGAACTTGCATCACATTGTTATCACGGCAAGCAAACTTTGTATTAGGGAACAGTACAACACCAATATAGTAGTTTGCTTCACTCGTAAATATTTCTATAGAAAAAAATATACAGTTCAAGTTTATTGTCCCTCCTGCTCACATATTTCAGGTAGGTAGGTAAGCAATCTTTTATTTAAGAATTGTTTTTAAATTATGCACTTTTATACAACGCTAGTGTGATTTTCTAAATAATGGAATTTATTACATTCTGACTGAAACAAAGTAAAACAACAGCAATCTAAACGGATAGGTCACAGCATCACAACAAAATTTAATGTGTATTTACTTTGAACAATGCCACAACAGCTCGCTTGATGGATCTGTTACAGCAGTACAGCACAGGGTTTAAAGCGGAACTGACGTAAGCCACAAGGGTCATGGTCCACAGCAGCCATATTGGCATGAAGATTTGTCTCGAGGTGAACACGCCCACAGATAACCAAGATGGCAGCCAACACAAGGTGAAGGTCGCCATCACGTAGCCGATGGTTCGAAAGGCCTTCAGATTTCTGACTGCCGGGACTGGTCCAGAGGCTGTAGCTAACTCCGGGGTTTGACGAGGGCTGTTTTCTACAAGTTTTCTCATGACACATTCAGGGATCTGTTTTTCTAATGGGACGACTGAGCTACAATCTGCGCCAGTGTTTGCAATGCTCACGTCGACATTCGGAGTCTGTCTATGCGCCGGATTTGCACATTGCTCTTCTTGCAAATTACACCTACCATCATTTAACAACACCCGGCTTTTTTGGGTTACTTCTATATTTGTACATTGGAATTCAGTGTTCATTGTACTGTACTTTAAAGTCATTATCCCATCCGGTTTCGGAAAGATTGAAGTATCATTTTGCCGGAAAATTCTTAATTCAACTTCAGGCTGTGTGCGTAACTGGTTTTCAAAACCGTTGCCTAAATTAGGAGTAGACATGGTAATATGTCTAGAAGGAGTTGATACATATTTTACTTTACGTTTTTGGAATCGTTGAACCTCGTACAAAATAACGATGTACAGAATGTAAGTCGCAATGTAAGGTACGTAAAACACTATTGAAATTAAAGTCAATACGACGGTTGATCGATATACAGAAGCGCAGTTTATATTATAAGTTAGACACTGTTCGCTGTCAGCACTGTAATCATGCATAGCCATATCGGGTATAAATATCAACACGAAGGGAATCCCCCATGATAGAGATATCATAACATAGCCAGTGGTTCGATTAAGCCGTCTGTGTAACAAAGGCTTACACACTGCTATATATCGGTCCACGGACATGGAGAATATGTGTGTTATGGAGCACGCACATAGAAGATTGTTGACGTGTATCCGTAGCGCGCAGAGCGTGCTGCCCAGCGTCCACCTGCCTCGGCTGGTCAGCTCGTGGAGTTGCAGTGACATCATGAAGAGAGCCAGCATCGTGTCGGAACACGCCAATGACGTCATCAGCATCTTGGTCAAGGTGTTGGTTTTGGTTTTGTTGGAGTCGGGTGGTTTCGATCGCTGAAGTTTGGAACATAGCAAAGACAGGAGGAACACAACGTTGGTGGTTATCGTCAGGATCTCTATGGTGGCGAAGAGAGTCAGGAAGATGTTTATAACAATATCTCCAGGATTTGTTTGATCTTGTATAGGATGAGCGGAGCTAAGATTAGCACATTTCACAAGGTCCATTGTAAACAATGGTACAATAAACTGCAGAGTCGTCAATTTATTTTGTCTAATTTTAAAACAAACAAAAAAATCATTTTACCTTAAGATTTAACAACCTTGAACACATATTTCCAATAAATATTGTTGCTTTAAACCCACTATTAAGCGTTATGTTTACAACCGAACATAGTCCCAGTTAGATTATGCTACTCTTGTCACAACCATTTGCCCCGGAACTCCACGATTTCCTTCCCTACTCGTCCAACCTATCAAGTATTCCACTATCCCCACTACGGCCAAACTAAATACAAAACCTGGATTGGATAAAATGTTCGATCGTAGTAAAAGCTACCGCTCCCTCTGGATTCCAAACCATCAATAAGCAGCTCAGCAAGCCGATAAAATGTTACGTTATTTTATGTAACTTGCACACACGCGGGAAGGAAAATCAACACAGCAATCACGATTTCCAATCAACACAGCTATCACGTTTTCCGATTATGTAAAAAGTGTTTAAACTAGACAAATGTATTTTTTTCCTTAACACATATTATTTTTTTACCATAGCATTAGAAGAAGACAGAAATTAGGAAAAATAATGCATTTATTTCAATCGCTTGATAATAGGCGGATGCTGTCTTAATTAAGCCGTGACATCAAAGTATTTTCTTGTAAAAGTCGAATTTTAAAAAAAATATTTTTGCCTTGATTGTTTAGAAAATTGAACCCCGTTAATAGGAACCTAATCATTTGATTTTAGATTAAAGTATATAATTTTAAAATTAGAATCATTGGTTTATATTAACCAATAAAAACACAGTTTTACGATGTATAAATATTTTACTTCATCATTTATATACACAAGAATGAAAAGCTCTAATCTCAAACAAAGGAGTGTATAGGTCTGTCAGAATTACGTCACAACGTAACAAACACATTCCCAAAATATTCATCACGATTTTCATTGTAAACATTTTAACAAAACAAACACCGAGTTAACATTGTATATTTGAACTGTTCGCTTGACATTCTACACATTTAAGTTATAATAAAATGTCTCTATAACGTTAGCTTGCCGTATCGAGAGAACTGTTCGCTCGACATTCTACACATTTAAGTATTGATACTATGTCCTTATCGTTAGCTTGTCATGTCGATAGAATGATTCGATATTTGAATGGTATGAAGTTGTTTTTAACTTTTTCTGTGTTTGTGGTTTGATATTGTTATGGTATGGTGTCGTTTCTAACTACTTTGTATTTGTGGTTTGATACTGTATATTGATGTTCACAACTACCTCTGTATTTGTGGTTTCATACTGTAGTTGGTATGATGATGTTTGCAATTAATTCTGTATTTGTAAATCTTGTAATGTTTTCTTCAAAGATATCAGTCAGTGATCCATAAAACTAGATGTAACCATTAAGTAAAGTGCAGTTTTTAACAATAAAAAATTATAATATTTTAGCATCTGTCATCTGTTTTTTTTTTTTAAAATAAGTCTAAATTTTAATGGACCATTTTGTCGTATGAAGTAAAATTTCGTAAATAGGGGATAGAGGGGGGGGGGGGGTACGCATTTAAATTTCCGGGGGAGGGGGCGGCAGAGTCCAAGAGGTCTAAATGAAACTATATACGAGCTAAATGTGTAAAATAAAAATAAAAAATCATCAACTTATGGACAAACAGACAAATTTCTCTTTTTCGTAACTCTTCTTGGCTTGTTCGTTGTTCGGTATTTCTTTAGTTGTTCCCCTTTATAAATCACAAGGAAAAGTTAAGCTGGAAACTGTTTCCTTCTGATAACAGTGGTGAGTTCCGTGTTCCTTAAGGCGAAATCGTTTTACAAATAAATACAATTCTTTTCTCACTTTAAAACTTCAAAATTTATTTAATAATTTAAGTTTGGTAAATATATAACCATGAAAAAAGTATTGGAAATCTTCACAGTTTGGGTGTTTCTAGTATGTTTTACACTTAACTGAGTCAGAGATCTATGTATTACCTTTTTAAATAACTTGTGTTATTTACAATACCCATAATAATGATTTCTTTGTAACTATCTAAACTATTTAGTTAATTAATTTATATGTGTAGATCGATAGCTAATGGACAGATGAAATTAGCCAATTATAATAGTAGATAATGTTAGGGTTAGGGTGTATGATTATTGTTTAACAAAACAATTTTCTTCTTTTAGGTGCTTGCTATTTAACGGGATTCGGACGTTTTTCTAAAATATTATTTCCCGAATGCGACAAACGAAAGAATGGACACTTGCCCGAATGGAACAAATGCCCGAATGGAACAAATGCCCGAATGGAACAAATGCCCGAATGGAACAAATGCCCGAATGGAACAAATGCCCGAATGGAACAAATGCCCGAATGGAACAAATGCCCGAATGGAACAAATCCCCGAATGGAACAAACGCCCGAATGGAACAAATGCCCGAATGGAACAAATGCCCGAATGGAACAAATGCCCGAATGGAACAAATGCCCGAATGGAACAAACGCCCGAATGGAACAAATGCCCGAATGGAACAAATGCCCGAATGGAACAAACGCCCGAATGGAACAAATGCCCGAATGGACACTTCCCCTAATGCGACAAATGCCCAAATGGAACAAATGCACTAATGCCACAAATGCCCAAATGAACACTTGCCCGAATGAAACAAATGCCCGAATGCGACAAATGCCCCAATGCGACAAATGCCCCAATGCGACAAATGCCCCAGTGCGACAAATGCCCCAATGCGACAAATGCCCCAATGCGACAAATGCCCCAATGCGACAAATGCCCCAATGCGACAAATGCCCCAATGCGACAAGTACCCGACTAGACACATTCTATTGGCTCAAACCAATAGCTTAAAAAGTCATTAAAAGTGTGTCTATAAAATATGCGAACAGAAGTCCACTGACTGTAACTACCCGTACATCACACTAAAACCTTATGGTGTTCTTGTGTTTTTGTTTTAATGGTTCTTTGTCATACAGAAAATATGAGGGTGGTATGGTTCTTATCAGTGGTAACTTTATCCTTAATTAAAGTGGTTATTCTGATAGTTATTCAGCTTTGTGTTTTAATTCAACGTGTATTTTAGTTATGTTGCTATTATCTGTGTAGTTGCTAATACAAGTATAAGAGACACAAATTCACATACAACCACTATGTGTTCCAATTATACCCACGTAGAATTATAGCCTACAATTTATGAATATAACGACAAAACAATATATATATTATATCTACGTCCCGTACAGCAGGCCTTATCTTGGTATTATCACTTATGAGATTCCTGGTTAAGCCTTGATTTTATTGAGCAATAGTCAGCCAACGTAAGGTCTTTAGCAATACTTGCCACATTCCTTCTCTCTGTAATATCATGTCATTCCCCTTACAAATCTAATTAAGTACGATTTATATATTTGAATACGTACATCAGTTTGTTTAAAACTGTGACAGAATCTTGCTACAGCTGTCACGCAAAAGTCGGTGTAAATGCTACGTTTGGTATATATATTTTTTTAAATTGAAGGCAGAGTTTTTTCCAAGCAACTCTTCGGGGGGCTTGGAATTTATATAGAAAACGTATACTTTTACAAGTGTCCGCCCCCGCCCCCCACCACGGAAAATGTTGACCGCCCCCCCCCCCCCACCCTGAAAATATCAAGTGCCCCCCCTCCCACTCCCCCCTAGGAGCGAAAAGTCTGGAAGAAGCACTGTTTGAAGACCGTCCTAATTTGTACGTATCTTAGATTTATTTGAGCCTGTTAGACAATAGTTTCCCTGTTCGTCCAATGTAATACATGTCTCATCGTCACCATCGAGTTACACAGACCACAGTAATGGATCAGTAAGTGATTTGCTGATACACTGATGATACATATCGAGGGTCCTATTCAGAATGAGGAGTAATTCCACAGAGGTCTGGGTTGTAGGCTTCAACGGGCTGAAGAGTTTCTGAGATTGCATTCTCTTCTATACACAATCAAAGGTTCTTAAAGGACCTACTTGGGATCTGTCATTATCATGAAAAAAATTTTTAAAAGTAATTTTTTACAGCGCATAGAGAATGTTAACCCAAAATGAAAAACTGTATAGAAAACATTTTAGTATCCGGGACGTTTTTTTCTAATCATTTCTATTTTTATTTATTCAAAAAGTTTTAAACCGTTTCCCAATATTGACAAGTAATAGTTGCTGCAAGAAAATACTTTTTTGATATGTTTATATATATATATATATATATATATATATATATATATATATATATATATATATATATATATATATATATATATATATATATATATATATATATATATATATATATATATATATAAATGAATTGATGAAACTTGTAATTCTATATCTCATATGTATACTTTTATTCCTATAATTTATAGCACTAATATTTTTTTTAAAATTCAGCAATAAGGCGGCTGAACGTTAGATAAAGATAGTAAAAAAAAAAGATTGTGGTTAGGATGGAGCAGAATTTCTTGTAAAACTAATAGGCCACAAATACAATACAATTTGCTTGAGAGTTAGTCTACTAAGTCTAGAAGACTTGATAGCACTAATAAAATATATGCAAGGGATGACAAAAATGTGTTCATAATTTTGTTTGTTCAGTAAAATATTTAAAATTACTGATTTTGTGTGCGATTTAAAAAAAAATAAGTGTTCAATCTTTATAGTCAACTAAAATATAAGTAAGATTTGATAAAATATGTTCATATTTTTGTGTGTTCAATGAAATATTTAAAATTATTGATTTTGTGTGCGATTTTTTAAAAATTATTGTCTATTCTAGCCAACGCGAGATTAGTGTTTCCCTTACGCCCTTCACTGTCCCTTCCCGTTTCACTGCGAACAAGTTAATTCACTATTGCTTAAGGCTTAATTAAATTGAAAAATACACAGACTTGTGTTGTCTTCGAAATGAAAAGTATCTTGAAGCTGCTTTAGAAGTGGGTCACAATTGAGTTACAAGATGTGGCACAAACCCACAAACAAACTACAAACAAACAATAAAAAAAACAACAACAACGTTGCTAACTAAATAAAAATTTGTAGGAACTCGTGATTTCATATATTTTTAATTAAAACAAAAAAAAATGTGTTAATAACTCCAAATAAATGTATGCATCACTCGATGATTTTCTTTTAGGAAATAATTTAATTAAATCGGTAATGTAAACACCAGCTTAGCTCCCTAGGTGGTAAGTAGTGTAGTGTGAATAGAATGTAGCGTTCTGAGGTCTGGGTGGTGTGAAATAGAATTAGACTGTTGAATGTAGCATCGAATAGGGTTAGATTGTATTGGATGTAGCGTTCTAAGTTCTGGTTGGTGTCAAAGCGTTTTTAGGATTTTGTGGACGACATCATCCTCCTCTCACATCGACAAAAGCATTTCCATTGCAAGATTCTAAGCTAAGAAAAAATGTGAAAAAGCACTTAAGTTAGGCATATAGATCAGTGTGGAAAAAACAAGGAGGTGATGTGAAGTAAGAACTAATAGTAGCTCCCACTTCCGAAGAGCCTGGCATGTCGGACTCCCAAGTTCCCCACATTATAGCGTGGGGGAGGAGAGGTGCAAGACTGCCGGGAACCAAGAAGGGTTTGCTCTCGACACTAACCAGATATTTTGACTTAAAGCTGCGGCCTTCACGTGGCTTCGGAAGAGTGTCATTAGTCGGACCAAACTTATGACCCCCCTAGTGGTTGCGGAATGGCTAGTGGTAGCTAACAGCAGCTAGAGGTTTTTAATCTGGCCAAATATCCCCCACGATCAAGCTGGGTACCAGGCGGTGGGACGACGTCCTGCGTCTGGTGGGTGGGGAAGGAAAGTCCTGTGAGAGCTGACGGAGAAGCGACCGACTTGTAGCGATCAAAACGACATTTG